TATTAATACTTCTCATTCAACCACAATAAAATTCACTTTATCTAGGAGGAACATTTTATATGAAAAATATTTATTTTTTTACAAAAACAAGCAATGAAAACCAGCAAAAATGAAATAAAAGTAACAATTTTCTATTTTTGTCTTTTTTTTAAAATGAGTAGTAGAAAGTACAGATAACTGTGTGAAAATGTAAGAAGTAGAAGTAAAAAGTAGGCTGAAAAATATTTACTCAAGTAAAGTACATATACCAAAAAATTCTACTTAAGTACAGTAACAAAGTATTTGTACTTAGTTACTTTATAACTCTGCATTTTTGTACACTGCCCTGATATGTGTTTTTGTTGTTTTTTTTGCTATAAACTGTACATAAATTAAATGACATCTAAGATAAACACTGTGTCTCACAGTAACACAATTTAACATAAGTTCATCTTGTATTTCTTAATGTCTTCAAGGAGCTATTATGAAACACTAATTTCAGTTCAAATGTGTCCTTTTTTTTCACCCACAAAAAGCCAAATTTCTTTGTTTCAACATTTGAACGTTATTTACATTTTTCACTAAGTCCCAACTTTTTCAGAATTGTGGTTGTCAAAACAAGGACGAAAGTTGTCTATATCGTTCTTTTTGTGTCACTTGGCCAAAGTTCGGTGATTTTGTTTTCTTTTTTTTTTCATTGAGGATGACAACTTGCCTCGCACAAAGGAGTGTATTTAAGCAAAGCAGCTGATGTGAACATGCGGTGAATCGTTTTGATCAGGTTAAATAATACCTTGCAGGAGAATCTGAAGTCATTCTAATGAATTTTACAGTCCATTAGAGGATCCATAATGATACAGACATGGCAGCTCAGGTAAATTAAAAGGATTGGCTCTGACATACGTAAAGGGTGACTGCACTCTGGAGGCATATGCTGAGAAAAAAAAAACCTGCTTTAATATGAAACGGTGTGCAGTGAAGACATAACAGTGAGGTCAGTTTGTCAGAATAAAGTTAAAGATTTATCTGAGGTCTACAAAGCCTTAATGCTATTTTTTTTTCCTGCAGCAGGTAACAAGAGAACCCTCCAATAACACCGGYCGTCTAAAGGTTAATCACAACAGTTTCTTTCAGCTGTTTCCTGTGTATGTACGTTTAGCAATGATGGTGCATTGCTTTCTTACCAGCACCGCTTCCCACTCCAATTACATTTAGATGGGACTTTCCATCTCCGATGCTGAAGGGAAAAGCAGAAAAATAAAACAGTCTTCAGAGCAGCAAAGCCTTGAAATTCACAGCTTCCAACCAGGAGAATGTGGGTCATATTTTTTTGGGCCTGTAACTGACATTTTCTGCCTGACACTTGGGAATGTGAGATGTTCTGATCTAGCGACTGAAGCCTTCACAAGAACTTTGGCTTTGAATGTGGCTATGGTGGGTTCCGTCACTCAACATCAGATTTTTATTAACTCTATTACACCTTTTAATTAAGCCGTGAGTCATATCCCGCCAGATTTGCGTCTGATCTGCTTCTGACGCTACCAAAGGTAGCGGGAGTTTGGTTTGCCTCTCCTCAGCATGTCAGTTGTCTCTCGCAGCTTCCACAAACAGATATTGAAAAATTAATAAACAAAAAATAATAAAATAAATAAATAAAAATCTAAAAGGAGACATAAATACTACTTGTTGTCATTCATAACCAGTGACATCACTTTCAATTCATTATCATGTATTTTTTTTGATTTTCAGGTAATCTATTGTTACAA